GGCTGAAAGGGCGAGCCTGTTTGGTGTGAGAGGTTCAGTTGAGAGACGATAAATAATAGAAATCCAAGCTAACTTCTCTTCATGCTCTCAGCTGTAAGCTTGAGGACTGTAATGTTAAAATTTGAAATTTTATCTGTACGTTTGGAACAGAACAGATGTACCATTGCGCAGCGTTGATTTTAGAGCAAAACATTATGCTTGCTTTGCGACGTAAGGGTAATACTTTGTTTGCTATAAGGATATAAATACAGTAAAGTATTTAGAAATACGAGTAATAGCTTAAAAAAGTGTAAATCCTGCTTAGGTGTTTAAAGGTTGGATTCAGTTTATTATTTTAATTTATATTCTAAACTTAATTAATCCTTTTTTTTCACTTTTCTCTAAGTGGGAGTTGTGTATGACATTCCTAAAAGATATATCGGATTGTCTTATAAAACTATTAGTATTAAATGTTTATGCTTTTAACCATAATTTTTCAGGTTTTTAATGATGAGTTTATTCCAAGATATAAAAGAAAGAAATATACAGTTTACTCTCATATACTGTTGAATTTCAAATTATATAATGGTGTGTTTTGAACTAAGTTTTATGTTAACTTTTTTTATACAAATAACCAAGAGGCTATTGATTTTGTAATGGAATAACTTTCTACTACCAGTATTTTACAGGATAAATATAACAACTCAGTATATAGATTAATCAAGTCTGATGTGAAAATAGTGTTTTGCTTTGTCCACCGCTGTCCCACCGGGGAAGAAATATGCGATTACGCACATATAACCATTAAATTCACTATGCGTATAAACACAAATTCAAATAGAAGCATAAGGAAACTTAAAATTACATATTTAAATACATTAGCTTGTACACAGAAATATGATTTCTAAGCAATCATTTATCGTTGACCATCAGTTTGCGGATTATTGTTTTGTTTTGATATCTTTTTATCAGTCTTTCTAATAGTCAATTTAAATAGATTTCCGTTTAATCATTTATCTAGAATTATGAGTTTTTAAACTATGTTACGTGAAGAAATAATTCATATTCAGACATTTTATAAATATTAATTTTATTTCGTGCTGTTTTTTTATTATTTTGTATCCCCTGTGTGAAATGCAGTAACTTAGGAGTTATGAACATCTGTTCAAATATTTAATAATGCTATGTTTTTTAAATGTAATAATTAATCATAGTGAACATAATGTTCACGATAATATAGTACTGTAAATAATATTAAAAAGAAGATGTTCTTACCATAGCTGTTGCACGATGTTCAGTAAATTCGTCAGCAATGATGGCATAGCCTAAAGTGAACAGAGATGCAGATCCGATAGCCTGAACAATCCTTCCCACAAAGAATAATGCTAAAAATGTGGCTCCAGGTGGGGACTGTATTAGAGTGCTGAAATGTGGGACTATATTATAAATGACAAAAACACTTTTTAGATATAATCCTTACACGAAACACTAAACACTCTCTTCACAGTATTAACAACCAACAAACTAGCAACAATATTAGAAAATAGATATCCAAAATTAAGACTGACTACTCTGGAATATTAATACACAGTGAATTTTATCTATTTTAACTTACCAGTTAGTATAAGCAAAATTCTCACAGATAGTCATATTATCACGTTACGTTTAATTTACAATATCTAAAGAGTTTATAGGAGACAAAACACTTTTTCTTACAAATTCTTTCATTAGTTTAAAAATCTTAATATTTTACAAAAAAAATAAATTTTGATTGTTTTGTTTTGTTAATTCATAAGTTAAGTAACTAAGTTAAGAACGTGTACGTGAGAATAATGTGCATTATTACATGATTTTCTCGTTGTTCTTTCAGAAGTTATACCCAATCTGATTTACACCACTAGAAACCAAGTTTCGATACCCGTGGTGGGCAGTGCACAAATAGCCATTTGTGTAGCTTTGCGCTTAACTACAAACAATTAAATTTACCAGAGCTACCTGACACACAAAATCGTAGCATAATAGATTTAAGTATTTTTAGTTTATTACTCAAACTTCTTTCGATAAAGTGGATTAACACAACAATAAAAAGAATAGGAACATAAGACAAACATTTTACTTTATGTTGGGAGTCCAATAGAAAAGTTTTAAATATGTTTGCATCATGTTGTCTTGATTTAAAGTGTACATAAAATGTACAATGCACTTTCTGCGTCGCTAATGTTAAATTGATAGACTAGAGAGAAAGCAGCTAGCCATGAAAATATTTTGTTAGGTTTTTGGGCTACGATTGTCTGACTGACCAGTTGGATTTGACTGCCACTCTTATGGCTGACCCATGAGCCCAAAGAGCAGATCACGTTTTTTCGGCAACTGGCCTCGAACCATCACTTCTCGGATTAACAGTTGCTCTTGTTTACTAATTTAGTAAAACTCTAGTAGGACTAGATATTTCAAATAGATCGTTCCTATTTTCTAACTAGTAGAATTAGATTTAATATATAGACATCTCTTTTATTCTGGTCAGGCACCTTGTTAGTATTAAATGCATATAATAAGTGGCTTTTTCATACTTTAACTGAGGCATTAAAACATTTCACACAAAAGTCAGAAGACTATCAAATTAACTGAAAAGTAATTTTATTTCGAATAAAATGACAATATGATGTGATGAAGCCTATATTTCAGTTAAACTAACGCTTATTTATATGATAATAATGCCAGAAAAATTAATCTTGATCGTTATGTTATCTTTCACATACAAAAGATGGATGGCCGAAATAGAGCCAAATGAGGCAACATGTGAAATGTATTGAAATTATTTATTAATGTATCACCTAGGAATTAATATGTTCTGAGAATATTAAAATCGCTAGGGCAACAGGCGACCACCTACAGTTTTTGTTTATTTGTAATTAAGCACATAGGTACAAAATGGGCTATCAGCGCTCTGCCCACCACGGGTATCGATACCCGTTTCTTAGCGTTGAAGTTCACAGACATACCGCCGTAACGTTATGGGAGAAAACATACAGTTCATGAACGTTTTAAATATTACAAAAGTCAAACTTACCCTATTATATACTTTCTCGTAAGCTACGGTTCACATCAATTTTTTGTTATTTTTTTTATAACAGTGACCAATATTGAAAAATATACCCCAAAGAAAAGTTAAAATTGAAAATAATACACATATGCTGTGAGCCTTTGCAAGTCATCATAAAAATGATTCTCGCAGCACGAGATTGATAAAGGGCTTGAATATTATATCTAGCGATTTTGTGTGTTTGCTTGTTATAAAGCACAAATCTAAAAAATGAGCTACCTGCGTTCTGTTTATTGCAAATCTTATAAAAGAAAATGAAATGAAAAACGTACCCAAGGAATATCGTAGCGCCTCCACCTAAACATACCCCAGAGTTCAACAAAAATTTTGGTGACATTTTTGGTACCTGTGAAATAATAAAAACTACGTTTACTAGAGGGACACTCAGTACAGCGCATACCTCCGCCACGCAGCGTTGATCATATTCGACAATAAGAATAATATTCTACATATGCCCACAAATTTCATCAAAATCCGATCAATTTTGACTGAATTATGGAGCAAAAATAGTGTGAAAAATCGGTCCCTATGTAAACAGATAGGGATTTTTTGAATTTTTTGTGAACTTTGATCTTGAACCCCTCCAAAGACTAATCATTTCTAAGTTGGCCTATAGTCCAAATGTATACCCATTTTCGTCCAAGTCCATTCAGCCGTTTTCGAGAAAACTTGCTGACAAACACACAAACAAAAATCAAACAAGCAAACACACATACATAAGGTGCGAAAACATAACCTCCTTCCACCTTCGGTGGCGGAGGTAATTAAAAGACATATTACGCCAATGGTGGTTAACCGTTTGTATTCATATTATTAACCGAGTTTATATTTTTATGTATCCCCTCAAGCGTGAAACTATGGGAAGATTCAGTGAAAAAAGGTTAAGAACTACCGGCTTAGAAGCAGCTTGTGAATTACCGCATTTATCAGAAACTGATTTTTAAAATCCATTTAAAAAAATCTAAAATGTTGAATTTTTCGTGAGTAGTATTTGATTAGTTTGTTTTGAATTTCGGACAAAACTACACGAGGGCTATCTGCGCTAGTTGTCCCTAATTAGCAGCGATAGACTAGAGGGAAGAGAGCTAGTCCACACTACCCACTGCCAGTTCTCGGACTACTCTTTTACCAACATATATTGAGATTGACCACCACATTATAACGTTCTCATTTCTAAAAGGTAGATTCGAACCCTCCTCGACACCCCGATTGCGAGTCGAGCGCCTTAACCACCAGGCCATAGTGTTTTAAATTCGTTTCATTCAAAACTGACAACTTGGTTTTTTTTTTAAATTCATAGTTACGTGACAGCTACAGATTTTGAAATTCACACGTCTTCTGGAACTAATAGTTAAGAATTATTTAGTGTTCTGCAGAGGGTTGACCGCGTTAACATCTTTTATAACGATTTTGGATCCTCACCACACCATTACAGTCCATGTCGCTATGTCTGGTCATGCTCTATCTAACAATCATCCATCTTGACTGCACTTACTTATCAAAAAAGAAACAACATTAGATGGAAAACACTGTAAGCGTATTTCGAAATCATGAACACGTTTCTAGTCAAGCCCTTCATCAAGAAGCAAATTGAGTAAGATTACGTAATAACGAAATGGGCGCATTTTTGTATACGCGAAACAAATATAACAACACAACTAAATGATACATAAGAAATGAATAACATAAAGTAAAACAAATATGAGTGAATGAAAAAGCACATGAAGCTAATTTTAAATAAAGGGAAGGAAATACAATAACATTTCGTGGTTAAGGAAGTGAGAAAGAAACGAGAGAATGCAGAGGGTGGGCAGAAAATGTAAGCTACATTAAAGGAACGAAAAAAAAAGTTGAATGAAAGAAAAGTTGTAGTTTAATTGTGAAGGGGAGAGACTTTCTTGGATAAAAAATAGGGACTTATTCATCGTATTCACGCGAGGAACGTTCACTTGGATTATATATGGGAAACCAGTTTGAGATATAAAAGATAATGTTTATCATCGTAAAATGTCAGGAGAATGACTCCTCGATATTATTGTTAATAATTTGTATTCTGTATTCTGGCATTTTTAAACACTTCGTTTTCATAATTTCGAAATGCATTTACAGTATTTTCCAACTGCTGCTGTCTATTCATTATAAGATGCCAAATAAGATGTTTCTATTTTATTGTACTGTGAAAAAGAGACTTTTCAGTTCCCATTTGTTCAACTTCTCAGTAGCCTTGCAGCGTGACTTCCAATATGTTTTTTCGTAAGCTTGCCATGCCCAAAGCACATCACTACTTCCTGCTAACTTTTTATAATCATGTCATGTCAAGAATACATCACTACTTTCTACTAACTTTCCATAATCCATCTACTGTACAAGGTCGACGGTTCCCAGTGCCTATTTCACAACGAACAATAATTTATAGGCGACTTGGTCGGCATGTGGCTGTATGGAATAGTTTGAATACTTGTTTCATTCTGTAGCTGCTTGTGGTGTGCGACAGTTGAAAGCGAGGTATGAGCGGAAGGAAGCCTTATCTTGGTGAACCAATACCCTTTTCGTTTCGTTTTCATGCAGACATCCTTCAAGGTTATATTGCGTTCTACAGCCTGGTACATATAGACGGCTTTTCCATTAACCGTTGTTGTGTTTGTAGATTCTCGTTCTTTACAAAACGCCATAACTTGCTTACCAATACCGGGATACAATTTGTTGAAGGCCTATTTCTGGATGGTCTTGGTTTCCCTGATTGATGCGTAATCCTTTGTATTCCATGTCATTATGTATAAGTGATATCTTCGTCTTGGAAAGTCTAAACACTCGATCTGAACACATCTTGATGATCAAAGTGTATGCATGGTTTGTGTCGGACATGATTGTTGCACACCTTTCCTCAAAGCTATCTATTTGCCTTGGCATCACCAAATCTACGAAATTCCAAGCAATGCTAATATACAGTTTTGATGAATGACGTTCCACCGCGACTTTATTCCGGTTATGTTGTCACGTGATGTGCTGATTTGTCTTGCCAAATGTTTTTAATATAATGTACTCAACTTTGCAGAAATTACGTTTTGCTAATTCGATGACGAGGAACCAACTTTGAGACTAATAATGGCTGGAGACGGCTTGAATGGGTAATGAAGAAAAACTTTAATATAAGTTTAACATAACAGCAAATGTACAACGTTTCGACAAGGTACCTGATGAGGACAAAATCTTGTCGAAACGTTGTACATTTGCTGTTATGTTAAACTTATATTAAAGCTTTTCTTCATTACCCATTCAAGCCGTCTCCAGCCATTATTGCATTTTACTATTTGCACTCTTATGACATTTCATTATCAATAAAATTCTTTTAAATCATTACATATATTATTACTGAGAAATTAGATTTATTGCGTCAACTACTACTGATTACAAGACGATTGATTAGATATCGAAATCCTTGGAATATACAGTGCATGAGGATTTAAGCACTGAAAAAATATAAAATTTTAAACAACTATATTCACATTATAATGTTTAATTGTTACTCACCATTTTGAAAATGACTGGAGAGAGAAAAAATATAACCAAGAAAAACACTCCATAAAGAAATCCATACTGTGTTGGTGTTACTTGCTTTCTCTCTGCCTGAAAAGAAAACATTAATATACAAGTAATGTTATTTCAGAACGTAAAAAGTTTCAAAATGAACGAAGAAGAGCTTATATGTTTGAACAACTGTTAAGTTATAAATCCTTTATAGCACGCTGTAATAACGTCGTATTTAAACTATGTGCTTAGTACAGTGCTTTACCAATTTTTGATGTAGGTGTGTCAGGCCAATGTTTCTGAAACGTTGTTTGTTAACAACCTAATTTTTGTATTTTTCTTTTCATCTAGGGGGAACACCTCTTATGGACAACTAACAGAAACGATGCCCAATTTATAAACAACATTTTACACGAAAAACATGATTTATCCTGGTTACGAGTGTTCTTCTGTATTTATAGACGACATTTTACATGAAAAACATGATTTATCCTGGTTACGAGTGTTCTTCTGTATTTATAGACGACATTTTACGTGAAAAACATGATTTATCCTGATTACCAGTGTGTTTCTGTAAACAGACAAGCGTGGTCAGGATCTTGACGAGCTGAACGGTGTGCTTCTCTGTCACAAAACTCCTCCCGACTACTTCTAACTGCATCTTGACGAGCAATTTGATGTGCTTCTGTATTTCGGGCTTCTTCTCACTGGATCCCGCTTCATAACTTGGTGAGCAAGCCTGTCTTTTTCTTCCTGTAACTTGCATCATGACGTTTCACTTCCTCTCTCAAAGTTTCAGATTTTCTCCGTGATAAGTCACTTTTCCGTCTGCCATTGTTGGCATCGTGATTTTCGATGTTTTTGATCACTTTATACTCATATTAAAGACAAAAATACTTTTGTAACTTACGAAGATCGATTTACTACAAAATACCTGCAAATTTGTATGCAACGAACTCCGTACGAAGGACTTGCGATTCCGCCGGTCACAGAACAATTCAATTCAGAGCGCACGCTTGGATTCTCTAGAATAAAGTCACTTTTCTTCGAAAATATCACAATGGTTCTCCAGTAGGAAGACTCACTTTGAAATTCTGCATTAAACTCACTTTACCACAATTTTAGACATTTTATTAAAAAAATAATTTTGTTAATAATAATAAATGTACAAAATTAATGTACATTATTAATAAGGTATGAAGAACCATTTCTCCATTAAGGAATTGATTTAGGAAAAAAAAGTTATAAAATAAGGTTCTACTATTTTTTAATTTTAGCGAGGGTCTATTTTATATATTTTTTTCCATTTTGGTGTGATATAAAGCTGTTATTGACTTATTTCTTAAAAAAAAAAGTGGACACTAAACAGATTTTTATCCTATATATATGTACTTTACAGTACTGACAGATTATTCAGTATATTTTTCCATGTACTGTTCCCCGTGTGTATCGTCGGCCACATTGTACTGGAAATGAAACACACTTAATACAGTACATGGAAAAAGTTATTAAACATTTCCTGGAAGAACAGATGACCTCCATGACGGCATTCAACTCTCTTTATATATATATCACTCATTCAATTACATTACCGTTCCCAGTTTGCCCCTGAAGAAGTAAGGTTCACCTTTTGAAAGCGCTCAGGTTATAGGATTTTTATCATTTTGTATCAAGACTTATTGAACCTAGGTGTTTTTCTGACATCATGAATATGGTTACAACACATTCAACATAACGCACCACCATTTCAAAGCATTCAAAATACAGGAATTGTCATATTGATTAGAACATGACATTCCTCAATATTTGTTTTTCTCAGTTTAGACAATGGCCCTTGTCCACACAGAGAAATAAATGAAAGAGAAAAAAAAAAGACTTTTGTACTTCTGTATTTAAAATATCTTAATAATAATGATCAAGATAACTTTTCTGACTTTCTATTATATATTAAATTATTTTCCAGACAAAAAGGCGAAAAACAAAATCGTAGCTCAGGGGGTTGGAAGTGAATGGTGTTCATTACCTGCCTTCCCCCCCTGTTTATCAAAGTTAGGAACTACAAGTGCGGATAGGTTTTGGCAAGCTTTGTGGGAATATCGGAGGTATAAACAGTAAGTGTTACTCATAAAAGACTAATCAATAAAAGTAGAATATTACTGTTTTGAGGGAATTTGAATGATAAATATAATTTATCTTAAAGTGTTAATTATTGCTCAAGACATTTTAGGCCTTTGTAGTTTGTTAATACAAGTACATGACTATTATTGGGTTGTAATGTTATCGTATTATTCCAAGCACACCAGTTGTAGTAACCTCTTTTTTTATTTTTCAGTCCCCTTTCCTCCATATTCTGTTGTTATACTATATGTTATAGTTTATGATGCAAGACTTTGTGGGTTTGAACACCATTATTATTCCAAGCACACCAGTTGTAGTAACCTCTTTTTTTATTTTTCAGTCCCCTTTCCTCCATATTCTGTTGTTATACTATATGTTGTAGTTTATGATGCAAGACTTTGTGGGTTTGAATATCATTGTTATTCCAAGCACATCAGTTGTAGTAACCTCTTTTTTTATTGTTCAGTCCCCTTTCCTCCATATTCTGTTGTTATACTATATGTTGTAGTTTATGATGCAAGACTTTGTGGGTTTGAACACCATTATTTATACGTAATATCCTAATTTGTATTTATTTTGAGTTCTAATTTTTTCCATATTTAAAGTTTGCTTGTTTGTAGTTAACCACAAAGCAACACAATTGACTATCTGTACTCTGCCCACCACAACAGTTTTTAGCGTTATAAGTTTTCAGACTTATCGTTGTGCCACCGGGGATGGGGGCGTGTTTGGTTTGCAGATTGAGGTTAGTCCTGATCGATACCGTATTAATACAGATGTGTGGAATCTATTTCTGCACATTTCACCCTTTCTATAGCACTGTTTTTTACCACATTTTTGTATCCTACTTTGTTGTTTTTTTCGGTCTGACGTTTTTATTTTTAATTTAGTTGTCTGAGACTTTTACTCTACCTTCATCAGTTTAATTAGAAATGAAAAACACAAGTACCTCTTTAGAGAAGAAGGGGACAAGAAGAGCGTAGCAGCTAGCTTGACAGGTGAAAGCGAAAGTGATTTGAGATAAAATTACAAACTGACGTTTCGTAAGGCATCGTTTTTTCTTGTTTTCAAGTCCCTCAATTAGTAAAGAAGACGATTCTGATTGATCGGGTAAATTTTGTTCATCTAGAATGCATTCTGTTTCGGAATTATCATGATCGATATAAGAGTAATGTTCTGACTGGACAGTCGCCTGGACATTAGTTTCTGAAGTATTTAACTCTGATAGGTCAAGCTTGTTTTCCCATGTTGCCGAAGAAGGAATTTCTGTCTTTTTTGCACCGGGAGAAGAAGAAGAAGAACGAATTTCCGGAATCTCTGATACAACTTCGTATATTGTTGGCACAGGGAATGACGTCATCCTTGCACATTTAGAAGCCTGAAGAAAAAAGGTGAAAAGTAAACGATGATTTAATGTGTTAAGTTAATCTCAATAACTGGTAAGAATATTAACATTTGTAGAAAATAATAGCTCTAAAAATAGATTTCTAATACACACATTACTTTGTGTTACAAGTAATTAAAGTTTATAGTAAAGTTACCGCACAACTAAAAAAAAAAAAAAGAAAAAAATTAGCATATCTGTTGAGCTATGTAAGCGAACATGCTTGCTTAGAAATATATGTCATATGTATAGCTATATTTTTATAGTTTTATTTTAGGACAGCCCTTTGTCCGACTCTGCTTTTAACTTTTATTTAAAATGAATTAGAAATGTAATTTGTTACATCCTATTTTTGTGCATTTTTGCACAGATCTGAAATATCTAATATAATGCCAGAAACCTAAGTTGATTTTTATTTGTGGCCGGACCGTTTAGAATCTATTGAGGGAAGGTAAGACTTTTGCGTTTATCACAAACTACTTTTTTCTCTGAACTATTGAACAAATGCTCTATACCAGTTACGTAAATGTTGATCAATGGCTTTATAAATTGACAACAATTCTATGGCGAGAAAAAGTCTTTACAAGGCCTTCACGATGTTTGACTCGAATCAGATGTATACAAATATAGGTCTTACGAGAACTTCTAAAAAAAGCTCTAAAAGTATGTTGCATCAATCTTCGTATACACGACTGCGAAATTACATTGATATTCACTATAGGGCCTTCGTTAAGATATTGTTGGAATCAAGACACACTGTAGTGAGTCGAGCGGACAAGGAAAAAGTAAGCACGCGCGCTTCGAAACATGCAGCCACAACCGAGTTTTTTACGCGACATGAGTGTGCACAAAATTGACCCCCCTGAAACTCTTCCATTGTAATAGCTACACTTTAGATATTCCATACTGTAAACCATTAAGGCAATAGTAGCTAGCACACACACACACAAAGAAATGAAACTGTTACGTCTCCGTTCGTTCGTTGATTTTCCGTAACTTCGTTCCGACGAAACCTTAGCGACACAAGTCCTTTCTTAATAAAACTGGTTTATTCTTTCCGAATACAACTTTACGATACACTTAATTTCAACAGTCGCGCTATAACAAACGCTATATCTTACGTGGCCAACAATATTTTCTCTGACTGCAGTTCAATTACTCAACACACTGTTCCCCAGTCACGTTGTGACCCTCTTATATATATACAAGACTAACACATATCTAGTAAATGCTAGGGCATTCTTGAAGGAACAGGATATTTCTAGAAAACGGGTGGCGTAATACTAGTCACGTGACCTCACTGACGCAACACTGCCCCCTCCTTAGTATTGTTCGTCCCGAACAATAGCTACTTACAATAAACCAATAACAATTAACAATAACTTAATTAAATGTACAGAATTACAAACACAAAA